TGACGCGTTGTATTCATCTCTCTCTCTCTGGCGCTCGTTATAATGAATAGAAGAAATTAGATTCAATTGAAAATCATCAAAGTCACCGGAAGGCTGTATTTAGATAAGTGTTATTTATTTTGTCTTATTCAATTTCATTTAAAGTTATTTAAAAAAAATGATACTTTGTGGTTTTTTTTAGAATCCTATTAATTAAGTAGGAGTAGAAGATTTCTCCATGTAAGCTGTGGCCTTGTACACGTTTATTACATTTTTATTTCTCTACAATATTTATTTTGATAATTTATTGCCAATGGTATTCTGCATATTTCTGCCAATTATTGTTATTTTCTTATATAATTAATTATATTAAATTAATTGTGATATTTATTAACTTAATAATATTTAGATTATTCAGTACATGTACATATATACATTATCATTTGTACAACAGTGTTCATTCCTTAAATCTACAGAATCACTCAATTTAGTTCTTTCTCAATTCTCACCGATATATCAAGTATAATCCAAATTGCATGTATGATTCTATCATAATTCAATAAGCAAACCTTATACCTATGATTGATTATCTATGTAGTGCATTTAATTAAAAAGTTTTGAATTAGTTTTATTAAAACCTATTCATAATTTGATGAATAATCTTACTAATTTCAATAAAAAATATTTCATCATTCATTTTTATTCCAGGAGACAAAATTATGTAGGAAAAATGAAGTTTGCTAGTTTTGATACTGTTTCAATGGCTAAAAAAGTAGTTGTTACAACTGAAGAAAATGTTATTGCAGCTTTAAGTGTTAAAATAGGTATTTTTATATTCAAATTTAATAGTTTGAATAATATGTTTGTTAGAATAAATTGAAAATTGACATATATATCGTAACGTAAGACAACTATTATGGAGGATAGTACTAGAAAAAGGATGTGCTGGTCGCATACAAGCATTCAGTAATGTTACAAGTGGAGAATTGATTTCAGTGAATGGTGGTGTCCCAGCTTTAGTCTGTTATTGCAATTTAGCTACTGAACATATAATAAATGAATGGACATTAGCAGAACAAAATTGAGACAGGTATTAGTTTTTCTCATAATTCACTCAATTTATAATTTCAAACTAATTTTTATTAATCTGCTCTTCGACTAATGATAAATAGATATGACAACTAATGAGTTTAATGCTACATGAATTTGAATATTTTATAATCCAATAAAAAAGTATTAAAAATCACTTTTATACATATTTTAATTTTGTAATGTTTATTTCAGAATTGATTCTCCATTTATATCTTATTCTACAGCAGGGCTTTACAATAGTGAAAGGTTTTACTTTGTCAATTTTTTTGCTGTGCACTATTAAATTTACAATTAATAATTGTATGATACACAGAATTTTTCACAAGTCTATATTTTTTCAATATCTTGTAATGAGATATTGATAGAATTTGTTTATATTACATGTTCGATAAAATATGCAATGCATTTTATGTGTATTTTCATAGGCAATTCAATCAAGTAATACTGTTGTAATGTTTGCAGGATTGAAGATGTTTAATGGTACATTAAGAATGGAACCTTACATCACATTCTACCAATTTATAATAATGGTATTGAGGTCACCTCATATCATAGTAAAACTGGAGAAAAATTGAAAAATAAGAAAATTTCTGCACCTTTCATATCTCAAGAAACCGAGTAAATATTTTATATCAAAATTATCTTAATTATTTTAAAATAGAGTTTTTTATTTATGGAGATAACTTATTACAGGTGTATTTGAGCAGCATCAAATTATGTTTGCTTGAAAGGAGAAAGCAATTTAGCACTATTGTTTTATATCAATATATTTGAACCTAAATCAGAGCCTCAATCAATAACAATTAACACTATATTTGGCACCAGTGTTCATGGATCTTACCAGTTTACACTATACTTCCAAGAAACATATCTGCAATATCTATTAGAACCGGCAGTAATAACAGAAAGCGCGTGGTATTATTTGAGAAAAGCCCTAAAATTATTTCACGAGATATGGATGGAGAGACTTTTTGTATGTTACTAATTTAGATAGCAAAAAAGTAATATTAGAGTCATCATATCAAAAGGTGAATATAAGAAACTAATATACGAATCTAGCGATGCAAGAAATATTGACTTATTTGATTCGAATAAATATTACATATTTTAGAATAAATGAAATTTGTTTTTAGATTACAAAAATTACCATAACTGAACTTAGCATAAATGAAGCTCAATCTGAAAAATTAGCATATGTAACAAATAGTTCACTATTTAAGCCTGCGATCATTGCGGCCGATTGTTCTTATCAATCACAACAAGCGTTAAAAAGGAAAACGTGTAGATTTTTACTCTCCTCTGAGGACAATATACTGTCAGTTTAGTCCAACAAAATATTATCTAGACTAGAGAGGAATCTATCTCACAAATATTGTAACCGTTGAAATTGTTGAGTTGCCAATGTCAGATCGTGATCAAGCACAATCAATATAATTTTAATTGTTTTAGTTAACCGTTAGATGAAATTCCGTCAATTTTGAGTTTCAAGTACATCTTTATTCTAATTCAATAAATCAATATATTAACTAACTTTCTTTTACGAATAGTTGCTGTCCGGTCATGATGTTACTAGTTCATGTAAGTAGCATATACGTGTAGGCGAATCAACATTTAAGTGTGGAGTTTGATTTTTCATTATGATTTTTTTATGAAAGCATAATTTTAAAAAGTTGAAATTTTTATCTTAAATTTTTCGTCAGCATGAGGGTTCTAGTGTTTATTAAGCGTTTGAAAATATTATTTTCAGGCTTTTGAGTATCAATATAAAATCAACTATATTGTTGAATTATTATTAGATAACAATATTTTCTTAGCTTGTTAACTCTTTACAAATAAATTTTTTATTAGTTTAATTTATTTAATTGTTTTAGTTTTGTCAAACGTTGAACTGACTAAATAAACTAATGTATTGCGTTCGCTAGGTTTTAATTTTTAAGTTATTGCAGTATTCTTTTGAGTTGTTAATATCTAAATTGTTGATTTATCTTCTCTTTTATAAGCAAACCAGATAAACGTTTTCATGCAAGGAACTTTGGGCTTTGAACCACAGTAATCAAATCAACAAGCCGATTTAGTTCGTGATAAATTTGATTTACATAAAGTGATTGTAGCTGTTATATCGTCAGGAAAGGTGAAACTGTTATATCAAACTTGAACGATAGATAAACTGATTTTAATTTTCGTGTGACTTATATTAACAATTTATTATTATAGCTGTATGGAATAGAGTCAACGAAAGATGAAATAATTTGGCAATCACGAGTCAATAACATCAAAGGCTTTTAACAAGATAGTTTTGTATGTTCAACGTGGAAGTAGGCACTTTCCGCATCCACCTCAGTGCGCATTGCTTGCAACAAGTAACGTAATTTTTTATTTTATCCGTATTTTCAATCGCGACCTCTAAAGTCGACGTAAAATTAAGAGTATTATTAATTTTTTGGACCACTGGAAATGGAATGATATATACTTTCAACCAATAAACGGACAGCTACTGGATAGACTGACAAAGTCAAATAACCAAATCAAGCAGTCAATTTTGTTACATGCATTAACCGATATTTTTCTACGTGGTATAGTTATTTTGGATGAGCACGACCGAGCGCACGTCTTTCCAGAAAGTGCAAGCGCTGTTGCAACTTCTGCTGGATGTACTACTTACATCTTCACTGCCGACAGAAAGACTGATGTATTGTCCGGATACTCGCTTACTTATAGCAACTCGCAGAATCTAATTGCTCACAAGGTGTGTAAAACTATTTAAAAGCTTAAAAGCTTCCATAAAGATTGTGATATATTTTTCAAAATTCATTGCCTTCGTATGAGAATTAGTTTTCTCGCCAAAGACGTTCAATCGAACGTGTTCACTCGCAGGGTCAAGTGTTGAGTAATCGGTCAGTTTTATACAAATATATCAATCCAAATCTGGTTGCTATCATGAATCAAGGAATAGATGATGCTTATAAAAGTTAATTTATTACATCTATAATAAAAAGGACTTTGCGAAAACTATTTATGTTTACTCAAAATCTTGTTTAATTATTTATAGATACTCTCAATTTGTATCTTCTTCATGTCGTACCTGGATCAATAATAATCAATAATAAGGGACCAGTACATACTATTCATTCCGAAAACTGGGTTGTTTATAGTTACTTTAACGATAAAAGTTGAAGAACGGAAATAGCTATGTAAAAAAGCTACGGAAAGAATTGTATGAGGGAAAAACTCAAAGCAATACTACAAGTAAATTGCTTAAAATAAAAATTGTTAGATCCATATCAATTCATATTTAACACTAACAATAATAATTTTATGTTGTAGCTTTCTCATTATTAACTAACACAAAGTGACCTATTGTGGAGAAGCAAGCTTTTATATTACATTTGTCAATTGATTCAATGCAAGAAACGATTAACGAGAAAGGAACTAGCAAACACATCCTAGGTGAATAATTTAATTTAATATCGAATTGTTCCACGATTTACTCTTCGATTTCAAATATTTCAACCGGAATGTTATTCATTCAGTTGCATTAGCAAATGGCGGAGTGTTGAAATTGCCCTGGATATTTGTAGACCCAAGAAGGCCAGTAAATCCTGAAATAAGGGAAGAAGGATCCCGAATTGCCGATACACATGGACGGCATTGTAAATTACAATCAGAGTGTTTCTAGGGTATCTGGAATTCATACTAGTCCTAGTGGTCTTGAAAGCACATGTTTAGCACATGTATACATAATAGAAAAAATAGTTATAGTTTATGAGTGGTATCGAAACATTGTTTATTAATAATTTGAATCAAAAAAACATTTTGTTATGTTTAATGAAGATTAATATTTGAAAAGAAAACTAGATGGCGTTAACTATAAGTTAGGTGGTAGCTCTGTTCAAGAAAAAGAGGGAGTTGAGTTTTGGTGCTTGAATGAGAAGGTCGCAATGTGACGTAAGAATTTTTAATTTAGGCAGTGTGCTGCGATATTTAAAAATATGTAGTTCAGTTGAACACTTTACTTTCTATAACTTATTTAATATTCATTAAATTAATGTTTAACTTTAAATTTGCTAAACATATCCATTATTGCCTAAACCTATATCACTTTATAATAATAATCTTATTATTACTATTCTTATAACTTTAAAAATTTTATTTACTTATTTGCTTACAGTTTTGTTTCTAATTGTCGTATCGAGATAAGACTTACAATATGAGATTTCTGTTAACATTTTTTACGAGGTTCAATATCTTTCGAAATTAAATTAATTTATTTTAACAACAATAATTTTCAGTGTTTGCAGAAATGTTAAAAATTATAAATGATTATATGTACTAGTCTTCTTTATCCAGTATATAACCATTATCATAACCGTATTCATTTATCCAGTATATAACCGATTATCATTTTTAATATTTCTGCAAACAATGTAAGATATTGTTGTTAAAATAAATTAATTTAATTTTAATAAATATCAATCCTTGTGTTAAATTTTATCATAAATCTAATGCCGCAAGGCTTATCTCTATACGATAACTAGAAAAAAAGATATAAACAAATACTAAATAAGTACTGCTTTTTCATTAAAATTATTAATAAACATTATTCTGATACCTCTCATAAACCAAGACTATTTTTCTCATTATTTACGCGTTCTTCCTCGACGAAAGTAAAAATAACGCGGTGTTCGGAAAAATATATATTTTTCGACACTCCGTGCGCAAAGTGCGTCTTTCCCGCACGCTCGGCAGAAAACGTGCGTTGAAAATCGCACTTTCCACACGTCGTATCAAAAAATACGGTACGGCACATGTTCGGGAAAGAGTTTCTCGTCTCGTGTCCCCTTCCACCCTCGCTTCGCTCGGGTGTAAACGCCACACGAGACCAGAATCTACTTTCCCGCACTTGTATCGTAATGTACTATTATTATTTTTTCGAACACCGTAATGACTGGACTATATATATGTATTATTTATATAGAAATTATTTATTATATTATCCATGAAAATAAAGATATAAATTTTTTTAATTATTTTAATAATTTAAATGTTTATAAAAAATAAAAAATAATAAATAAAATTTGAAAATTTTATTTAAAAACCAATAATAATAATAATATAATAATAATAATAATATACAGCATAAATTTTTTCAAAATGCCGTCACAATGCGTGCATTCTGCAAGCATTTCGTGCAACAAAACAGAAAGGCATAGTGTCGGCATAATTTCCGCACGCCGTGCCAAACGATTGTTACCATGTGTGCTGTCACAATGCAGGCACAATGAGCGTACGGCGTGGAAGGCACGGCGTGCTTGCAGAATGCGGATACATTTGGACGTCACGGTGCCGCGCATTCTGACGGTATAGTGCCGGCACTGTATTATCTGGAATTATAAGCTTCAAACCATTTTGCTTCACTTCGTTGGCAGTACTGCACCACGTTAGTATTAGTGCATTCATACAAGACCTCGGTTAAAGATATACGAATACGATTGATACATTGTCCTGCACTGTATACTACAGACCACAGTCACTACTTCCCCAAGCGTTGCAAAGCGTAGGTAAGTTTTTAGTTATCTTGATTATTCACCAACGAATTATTTGTTCACAATTAAACTTGTGGTAAATACTCATTTAATGTGATGTCTAGTTACCTGATTTTTCCGGGTGACTTCAAATTTTCAGTTTATGAACTGTGCATGATGCTCTGTGCTTTATTATAGAGATGTTAACATTTGTTATATTTCAATGGTCTTAGATTTTCTAGCTGATCCATTAACCTTTGCTATCAAGTTAATAAGGAAATTGGTAATCTGCAAAAATGGCACAGCGGTTTCCTGTGCCAAATGCAGCCAGCAATGGGCCACCACCACAGCGATACCCATCACCATCTGTACCACCAAACATGAGACAGTATTCCAGTCCTAATTTTCCTGTAAGTTGTTAGTTATACTTGATAAGAATCAGTGACATAGCTAGAATTTTACTTACTACTTTTTGCTTTCATGCAAAAACAAGATGCAACAGAGGACAGGATTTACACCTCCACCTCAAATGGGTTCAGGACCTGGTCCAGGTATGATGAGGCCCAATCAACCTTATTCTAATATGAGACAGGGTCCCATGGCTACCCCTCCTGGTGGTAAAAGAGGTGCTGATCAACGTATACCAATGTCACAACAAAAACCGTAAGAGTATCATTACTAGAAATTTTTCTCATCATTCATTAACTTCTTTTTTAATAATAAATATATTTTATTCATTCAAAATTATATCTGAGTTATATTATTTTTATTTTTTTATATGTTTGATTTGAAATAAATCTCATCAACCTCATCATGGTGACATCATCACCAAAGTTTTTCAAAGTTTCTTTTAATTTTATGAATTCGTTACTTTTCGTGAAAACTTATCTAGGTATTTTTGGAACAGCGATTTTTCACATTCTACGTCTAAAAAGAAGAAAAAGTTAGCTGACAAAATCCTACCTCAAAAAGTACGTGATTTAGTACCTGAATCACAAGCTTACATGGATTTACTTGCATTTGAAAGAAAGTTAGATGCTACAATAATGAGAAAGCGACTAGATATTCAAGAAGCTTTAAAACGTCCTATGAAACAGAAACGTAAATTAAGGATTTTTATTTCAAATACGTTTTACCCAGCAAAAGAAGCAACTGAAAATGAAGAAGGTTCAGTGGCTTCATGGGAGCTTAGAGTAGAAGGAAGATTATTAGATGATAATAAAAATGATCCCAACAAGGTTAGCTGATTGAATTTTCAAAAAATTCAAAACATCTTGTCTATATCAGCTCATTTTGTTCTATTTTTTAAAGGTCAAGAGGAAATTTTCTTCTTTCTTCAAAAGCTTGGTAATTGAATTGGACAAGGATTTGTATGGGCCAGACAATCATTTAGTTGAGTGGCATCGTACTTTAACAACGCAAGAGACTGATGGCTTTCAGGTGAAAAGACCAGGTGACAAGAATGTTCGATGTACGATACTACTGCTTCTTGATTATCAGCCTCTACAGGTATATCGAAAACTTTGAATAATAACAATAATTATGTTGATTTTAATTTCTTTATTTTTCATTTCTAGTTCAAACTCGATCCTCGATTAGCGCGCTTATTAGGAGTTCACACACAAACAAGGCCTGTTATTATATCAGCACTTTGGCAGTACATAAAAACACACAAACTTCAAGATAGTCACGAGCGTGAATACATTAATTGTGATAAATATTTGGAACAAATTTTTGCATGCCCAAGGATGAAATTCGCTGAAATTCCTCAACGATTGAATCCACTTCTTCACCCACCTGATCCAATCGTTATTAATCATGTGATTAGTGTAGAAGGTAATTCACAAAATTCTCAAAATAATAATAATTTGCTTGCTTAAAGAAAATTTATTTCAATTACAGGTACAGAAACTAAGCAAACTGCTTGTTACGATATCGACGTCGAAGTTGACGATACATTGAAGACGCAAATGAATAATTTTCTGTTGTCAACTGCAAGTCAACAAGAAATTCAAAGCCTTGACAACAAAATTCATGAAACAGTTGAAACAATCAATCAGTTGAAAACCAATCGGGAATTTTTTCTTAGCTTCGCAAAGGATCCACAACAGTTCATCAATAAATGGATTATATCGCAAACAAGAGATCTCAAGACTATGACCGACGTTGTTGGAAATCCGGAAGAAGAGCGACGAGCAGAATTCTATTATCAGCCATGGGCTCAAGAAGCAGTATCTCGATACTTCTACACAAAAGTTCAACAAAAGCGAGCAGAATTAGAACAAGCTCTTGGTATAAGAAATTCCTAAGGATAGGAGATATATTATCGACGACAATCAACGCCGATTCTATTATATGTAATTCTATCTTTTTATATAGAGTTTTAAAATAATTTTAATACAGCTTTCGCCTTTATTAAACAAGCAATTTTGTATTAAATTGAAGATCTAAAATATGGTTCATAAGTTGGAACACTTGATTAAATAGATCTTTGTAAAATAAATTCAATTCAATTTTTGATTTGTAATTGTCTGCATCACAGCGGGAAAACTTGCGCAATGGAAGAATAAAAAAGCAGTCATTCAAATACACATCTGACTATTAGTTTTTCCAGTACTAGACATACTTTTAATTAAAATATGTATTTATGATATGCCTCAAATTAAATTTTAATTCTTATGCACATCGACAACCACTTGATAAGATTAGTGTGAACCCGTTTTCTTTTTTAGAACAGAAACTTGAAACACTATAAAAAACTTAGACATTGGAAATAAACCAAATAGTTTTCTTTCATAGTAAAAAGTATGATACTATGTTTATTATAATGAAATTTGTTTCAAAGACAAGGACGCTTTTTAATTTTTTGCTTTTTTTAATTTTTTATACTTCTTTTTCTTTAAATTCGGATCGTTAAACTAAAGTATTTCATTGAACAATTTGATTGCTACAATTATTTAACAATTAAGAATGTTAATAAATACGACATTTATGATAATTAATTTAATAATACTTAAGAGTTTCAAAGCTAATAACATAATAAATTCCGAAAAGTGTTTTAACGATTTCAAATACAATTTTCATATTTTACACTTCATCGATAAAAAATTTGGATTACAAAAATTACACAACCGACCCGTTCGAATTTGAATCGACGTATCCTAATTACGTAATTTATAAACCACTAATACTCTAAACTATGTAAACTACTTTTCTTTTAGTTCATCTATAACTTTTCCCTCTTAGTTTTTTAATTAAATCTGCTACCAAATTAAAGTTACCGATTGAGTTTGAGCACTATTATCGCATACGTCAGTAAAACAAAATAAGTTGAACCTCAACCGCAATAATGGCGGCCGGTCCGATAGCAGAGCGTAATCAAGGTATTTATTATTATTAAAAAATAAAAAAATCGTATATAAATGTAAGAAATCTGTAGCTAAGATAACTTCATAATATTTATAATTGAAATCTTAACTCATAAGTATTCAGTACATGTGAAATGTTGAAATTATTGTATAACCTATAAATATTTTTTGTTTTTGAAATATTAGTAAATATTAACAATTTATGTTGAAATTTATGTTAAATAAAATGGAATATATATTACATTAATTTCATATTTAATATTCTTTTTGATGCGCAACCAAAATATATTTTGTTATACTGCAATTCACAAAAATTCAAAATAACCTATAACGTATAACTTTGTTTACAGATGCCACAATCTATGTTGGAGGATTGGATGATAAAGTTAGTGAATCTCTCCTTTGGGAGTTATTTGTCCAGTCTGGACCTGTGGGTGAGTAATTTATATCCACTCAAATTAGAGTTAAACTAATTACAAACTTTGTTTTACAGTTAATGTCCACATGCCAAAGGACAGAGTCACTCAAACACATCAAGGGTATGGATTTGTTGAGTTTATGGGGGAGGAGGATGCCGATTATGCAATAAAAATAATGAATATGATCAAGTTGTATGGTAAACCTATTCGAGTTAACAAGGCTAGTGCCCACCAAAAGAATCTTGATGTTGGAGCCAATATTTTTATTGGTAATTTAGATCCAGAAGTAGATGAAAAACTACTATATGACACATTCAGTGCTTTTGGAGTGATTTTGCAAACACCAAAGGTATGTTGAATTTTCTTACTCTCTTTAACTTATTTTTATTTCTGGCAGATTAGAATCTTAGTTTTTATCATTTTTCTATAACTTCTGAGTAAAATCAAATATAAAACAAATTTCAGATTATGCGGGACCCTGAAACGGGAAATTCGAAAGGTTTTGCTTTTATCAACTTTGCGTCATTTGATGCTAGTGATGCTTCAATAGAAGCAATGAATGGTCAGTACCTCTGTAACCGACCAATATCTGTATCGTACGCTTTCAAAAGAGATGCCAAAGGCGAACGTCACGGTAGTGCAGCGGAACGTCTGTTGGCCGCGCAAAATCCACTCAGTCAAGCTGACAGGCCTCACCAGCTGTTTGCTGATGCACCTCCACTTATTCCGACGTCGATGCCACCCATGGGAATGGCAGCTCAACATCACATGATGCACGGCATGGTAATGCCACCACCACCTCCACCCACAGTACCGGCAATGCCACCGATGGGCAATCCACCGCCACCACCGGTTCCACCACCACCAGCAGGTTTCCCAGGCAGTATTCCACCGCCACCAATGCCGCCGATGCCCAACATGCCCTCGCAACCACCTTTACCACCCGGTATGCCTCCTCCATTGCCACCAATGCCGAGTCAGCAGAGAATGATGGGACCTCCACAATGGCCTCAACAAGGACAATTCCCACCTCCACCTCCACCTACGGGTGCGGCGCCACCACCACCTTTCCCTGGACAATTCCAACCACCGCTGCCCAGAGCTGCACCTCCAGCTTGGAGAGGACCACATCCACCACCACCGTTCCCACCGCGGGCGCCTCCACCTCCGCCTCCACCAACAGAGGGTGGACAATATTAAAACGAATTTTCGTAACTTGAAATGGATATCTTTATTTTCAAGAGAAAAGAGCTGCCGTGTTTAAAATGAAAGCGAATGTATATATTTTTTAATTTTATCATATCTAGTAAATTGACTAAGGTTTTTACAAATCATAATTTAATCTTTTTCTTTCTTGACCTAATTACATTGTTATAGTCGTGCCAAAGTTTCATTTCCCTTTCATTAGAATTAAAATATACCAATCATTGTAATTATTTCATCAGGTCATAAGCAACGATTTAGGCGTGACGAAGCGTTAGTACAGTTATTACTCTATAGCCCTTTTTTTTCGCGCGGTAACGACTTTACACGCGCGTGTAGTTTTGCACCTGCTGCTGGGGTGTGCTCAGATTATAGAGTTGGGTCGATGATGTAGTAGGTAGTAGCGGGTCAGCGCGGCGAGTGAAAATATCGAGCGGCCACTGCCTGCGGTGCTGCGTGTCGCCTTTTAATGTATCTATGCCAAAGCTAAAATGCCTATATATCGATTGTTTCACACAGGCGACCGTGCGGCTCTTTCTCGCGTGTACGCCACAAACGCTCTCGTCTTTTCGCGCCGAGAACTTCGTCCCCTTGGTCTACGTCTCAGTTACAGTTTCGAACGGAAATTTTTCGCGTCCGAATGTTGAAGAGTGAAGTTTTATTCGTTCGCTAACTTGATCCAAGTGATTGCCGCTCAAAGATTGTACGTGGAAGTGACTACAAAACTGCAGAAATGATAGTTATCATAAGTATACAGTGAGTAGCAGTTGACGTGTAAGTGTCACATTTCTTTACCACATTGTAGCAAAACTTTGTTATTGCGCTTGAAAGTTACGTATTAATTGTGTTCACAGCGATTTGGTAAAACTTCAGTCAGGATGACAAAAATAATTCAATCGACAATTTGTACAGAATGCAAAGTCTTGCGTAAACATTGTATATTGGCAAGTCCTCGCGCATTATGCGAGTCGAGGATTATTTTATTACGCCGTGCGTAAACTGTTGTCTCTTTTACGATGAATGCACTTTATTGTTTCATCATCGAAACATACATACAATTTTCTATTGAATTTCGCACTGAGCTCATCTTAACTTTTGAATTTACATTGGAGTGCCTGCAACGCGAATGAATTTCTGGAACGTTAAGTGTCTAAAAATATAAATAAAAGTGCGTTTCATGGATGCATTGTAATAATACATTAGAAATTCACGTTTGAATTAATCTACGATCGAAACCTATCTATACGATCTACTTGTACATGTATTCAGGTTTACGCACTACTATATCAGAATAATTGATTTGCCGTCTAAAAATATTTTTTCATATTATCCTACTACACGTACAAAGATGATTGAGTGACTGAAGATACTTTGCGGATCATGATAATTAACTTTTAAAATAAAAATAAAAAAAGAAACAAAGTTTTCTATCGATGCGCGAATATTTCAAGTTCAGAATGCCGCTTTGAAAAGTGAAATGTCAGTGCTTGGCGTGTTGATCATTTTTCACTTAAAATTTCAGCATTTCGAAGAGTCCAGGATGCTCACACATACCGATTAGCAGTGATCGGCAGCCGGGTGCATTCTAAAGTTACATAAAGCGATGTTGTTGCAAAGATGTCTCGTTTGTCATACGAGTGCGACAACTCCACGAAGGGAAATAACGACGATGATTCCGTGAGCAAACCATTTCCATGTGCTCCCGACAAATACTGCTTCTATTGTTGTTGCAACCCTCAGTGTTGTTTCGTTATACAAAGACGACCGGGCAAGCATTTCTGGGAGGCTTGGTACTTTTGGCTCGGTATCGCGTTGCTTGTCATCATTATACTATCCACTGTGAGTTGATTTTTTGACACTTTTTTATTTTCAATTATCTATACAAGTATAAGATTATTCGGTGAGAGTATGGGTGATTTCGTAAACTCACTTTTTTTACTGGACAATCTAGATTTAGAGCTTTGATACCATGCGTTATAACATATTAATTTCCTTGGTTGCGGACGATAACCTGGATGATAAGTTTGTCATTCCATGTCGACGAAATTATAACTCTGGCCTTTCCTGTTTTATGAAAATTAGCTGTTCGATCACCAGAAAATTTTGTATTAATTGCCACGTGATTTTCCATATAATTAAGCATCTTATACAACAATACTGGTCACTGCAATGTTAGAAAATTTTACATTAAAATCCGTTTGTTTTACTTTCATCGATAGAGAAAAGTCAAATATTGATTTCACGCTAAACATTAGCTATCGAGCTTTTATTTTCATAAAATATTTCGATGTCCTTAACAGACAAAGCAATACAAATACTAAGAGTCGAAATCACGGTTTCTCTTTAAGTATAAGTGAACGAATACCCATCAAATGATAGCACTGAGTCATTGAAAGTTTCACGAGACACATCCGCATGTTTCATTTGCATAAATTGATGATTGAATTGATGACGTTTAATTGTGGTTCAATTTCGCATCAACGCGCACCATTATGAAAGATAAATGTAATCAAGTAAATGTCTTCACTACCAGTTCGTAATCAAACAAATTGAGTTCTCTTCATTAAAAGAGTATCGTTAACCAAGTATACACTTATCCAATCGATCGCTATTATCTTTAGCTTACAGTACTATATTTTCCAAACTAAAAGAAGAACCCAATCAACTTAAAGAAATAAATTGTCAACTCTCATCCATGACTTACTAAACAAAAAAAACATCTGTCCTTTGTTGCACAACGAAAAAAAAGATAGGAACGTACGTCGTGACCAACTGCAAGCAGAATCTTCAAGCTATCGGCTATGGAGGTTGGAACAATCGAAATTCAGCTTCACGTCGCCAGCAGCGGCAGCAGCAGCAGCATCAGGCCAACAGAAATGAGATTTCCATAAACATAATACCGACCTCAGCGGCATTGCAGGCCCATCGGAAAATTATGTTTGTCGCTCCGCAACCAAGCTGCACTCATCTCAGTAAGTTGCATTGTTTTACGTCTTCTGAATAAACATGTCGATTATATTCATTGAGATGAACGCTCAAACGCCTGTGTGTGCACACATTGATTTTTGTGCTTGTTAATTATGCAGATTGCAGCGACACGTTTGAAGCTTTCGTCCTCATTTTCTGATAATACATTCGAGATTTTAACAGTTCATAATGATGTCATTGATGTTTCATTTGTACGTGAATGTTTGCTTTGATCAAATATTCATAGCGTTCATTTGTGAATGTATATATTATTCTTTATTTGCTGATGGATATAACATCGTTGTAACGCTACAACTTTCTAGTAAATAATGTTTTGGATAGTAATTGTGAATCGGAAATTTCATTAGCACAATTTATTTAAAACCATATTCTAGAAATAACTTGCTATAATTAGGGTATTTGAATGATTTTTTGATCGATTTTACCGTAATGACCATCTAAAGATAGCTTAGCGTTGACGTCACTGATCGTTTTAATCAAACATTTTCATGCCACCACTTCAGATTAGCAATAAAATCTGTTATCGACGTATTGTTTGAACGTCGAGTGGTCCGAAATTACTCCAAATAACAGTAATTTCGTAACAAAGTACTTATAGTGATTTTTACGGCATACCTCATGATTGTATAAAACGATTTTGCCAGGAAAAAAAAAACACTTTCGTTTCGGCATTTTCAATTTTATTGCGAAGATCCGCGGCTTAGCCGTAGAGAATAAAAAAACTAACATATAATTTTTTTTTTTTTGCGTAGCACCAATCGTAGCATGACCATCAGCAAAACCAGCAGCAACAACTGTAGCAGCGCCATGGGACCTTCGCCTTCGAAACACGTCAGTTGGCCTTCAGTATCAACTAGCCGAGATCGTAAAAGCCAACGAGCGATACTTGCGGCACACCGAAAGCTTCGCGCCGCCAAGCCTTGGGAGTATGAGAAGAAGAACAACGAGCATGGACCCGCGGTGCGCAAACGACGGCTTTCGTCGTCAAAACTCTTCCACCGACGTAAAGTCTATGATTACGTTACTCGGGCCGAGTCTCTCTTTTTTCCTGCCATTGTTTGACAGAAAAACAGCGTAATGATAGACTTTTTGAAAATGCCCTGTGCGCATTCCCGCCTCACGAGAAAGTAAAAAAAGAAGAAAAGAAAACGAGGATAATTTGGATTAAGAGCAGCTTGCTTAAAGGTCGCTGTGTCTCTGCTTATTCGTCGGCTTTTATTGTTTCTCGGATTGCTCAGAGCCAAGCACATTAAACTTCTGTGCGCTTCTTATGCATTCGCGTGGCTCGTTTGCTTGCGCGCGCAGCGATTAGCAAACAAATAGCTTGTTTTGCTGCTGCCGGGGCAAGACTATGTTGTTTCAGGGATGCCTCGATGCTCGATGGCGCCGTCTCAGCTCTTTCGCTATATATCTGTCTTCGTTAGTTGGCCACCGGCATTCCAAATTTCATATATGATTGGAATCACTGAAGCATCGGTTCTACTTTTAACCTATGAATTTGCGATGATAATTTGCCTTAACAAGAAAATTAGAAAATCGTAAGTAACGCATACCCAGGCAATGGCAATGAAAAATACTAATTGAATTTAGAATTGAGCAGGTCAGATGGGGTTGAGCCAGAAAAATTCAAAGTCTTATGTATAATCTTGGAAAATTGATCATACTAGACATTTTTGACCATTTTTAAGTACTCCGTAAAAGATTATTAAATCTACGCAACACAATGTCACCGTTTGTACAGTGTCTTCTTTACTGAAAATATTGAGTCTCGCACTTTTCTGAAAGTTGAAGTTAACGAAAATGATTATGAAAGGACTCATTTTTTATTTTTCAAGATTTGCTTTGGAACGAGCGAAGTACTTTCTAAATAATTTTTTTCACGCTTAAAATAGTAAAATAGTAATATACCATTTCAACAAATTTTCCAAAAATTTTTTAATAAAATTTTAAAAACTAATTTTGAAAGACGAAAAAAAAAATTGATTAAAACATTGCCCCGCTTGATCCAAAGTGCAAACTCTAACGAAGAAAATGAGCTCTCCCAATACGGTTTTCCTTCACTTTCATTCTTACAAAAACGTGGTAAACATTTTTTTTTTTTTAATTAAAAAAACGTTATATAAACGGTGACTTTCTTGGATGTAGATTGTAGATTTTAAGACGCTTGGCAAAGAAAATCAAAACTTTTACAAATAGTTCAAGATGTAATTAGTTTCAATACGATTTATTCAATATGATTCTAATATCATAATAACTAAAACTTTCAATTTCCCCTGTTCAACCTCATTTGATGTCCGTAAAAGAATAAACCGAAATTGCAAATTTTATAACATATTTTAATCGATAGATTAAGCATAACAAAAAATCATTACACGTAAAAATCCAAATTATTAAGGTACAACTGATCCCAGCAGTGCAATCAATTCACAAGTAAAAAAAAGCAAAACAGAGACAAAGAATCTGACAAGAAATACATGTCCAAACAATTAGCTGACGCAATTAAGTTTTAATTGATAATCGGTAGCCGCTTTGTAAGAGATCCACGGCTATGTACAAGGCAAGGGATGAAGATCGGTATAAGAATGAAAAAGAGAAGCCCTCTTGGAATGGGCGTAACTCCCATTAGCGATTAAAAGAAGGACACGCTGTATGCCTGTCGCGCTGCCTGAATACCTGAGCGAACGCTGCCGCGTCCCTCACGGGATCGGCGAACGAACGGCTCAAATGTGCTTTAATCTCATAAATGAAATTGTGCAGAATATATACTTGCTGATGAAACAGAGATGTAAAATATATGTACCGGCATGATTTACACTGCGCTCGTTATATTTCAGAAAAATTCATTTTTTATTCTTTCATTCTTGTTGAGAAGAATTGCTATATACTGGTATGGTTTGTATGGTTTTCGCACAGATATTATGGTTATTGGATTGTTTTTTTTTAATTTCCATATATCGAGCAGCATAGTTCTACATATGAACTAAAAATGATTTTAAATTATAAAAATCTAATATATATCATTCTTTTAACATTTGGATTCGAAATTTGATATTCAAAACTTCTATATCGGATCACTGTTTGATTTCGTTTCGTTGAGTATTGAGACTTAAATATGGCACAACACTGCACAATAATACGTAAGATTATTGAGAAAAATCACAAAAGTCTCGTGACAATCTGCCTGAAAATAATTTGTGATGCAACAAGATTGCGACCACAACGCGCAGAGAGAAAGAGATAAAGTGCCTCTAACTAGTCAAGTGATTTCGAGCTTCTCTTTTCTCATTTTTATACGCCACGACTTGTGCAAAATTATCGAGCTGATGTTCCGTCTTTTCACGCTCGTTGTGTCATTATCTGAATATGAAGTGCACTTACGCGTAACCGGATTTGACGTACGCTCGTGTGCATGTACATGTAACTTAAGAAGGGATGCTACTGAATTATAGGCCCTTATTTCCGCAATAATTTGTCACTCCATAAATTGCCAGCAATTTGATGCCATTAAACTTTGACATTCTTTTCTTCTTTTGCTATTCATTGAAGTTGTAATTACTCATTACGTGACGACGATTTCGAATGATGTGTTGAATAAATATGGATCTGCAATAAATCTTTTAACCAAAGAACTTATGCTAATTTATTAGAAAAGGTGTTTACATAATTGAGACTTGATGAAGTGAAATCTTGAGCAAACTAACGCGCGCGCGCGTGTATGCGTTATCACGAATGAATGTGAAAAAAGAAGACATCTACGATATTATATTCTTTCCATCTTGCTCGCATCTGTTTGCAGAGAGAAATATTTCATGAAACTTATGAAGGCTCAATTAGAAAAAGGAAAAATGGGTATCCGTCGATTCGCAAATGTAAAAAAACTCTGCCGCGATAAATTATAGAATCATCATTTACTCTCGAACTCACGACAGACTGACTCCCTTTCCTCACTGAACGAAAGCGCCCATCATCGTCGGCAATTGCATGAAAAAGAAAGGCTCTGCATGTATGATAATCCCAAAGCAGTGGCGATACAGCGTGACTGTTGTTTTCCTCTCCGTCTCTCTAGAGAAAGAGAGGGAAAGAGAGAAGATACGCGCATAAATGCATAACGAAATAGTCGAGGAACGATAAAGCCGTGTCGACGATAAAAGGCGAAGTTAACTGCTGCAAATTTAACATCAGCAGAGTCAAGCTTGGTAATTAGGTAGATAAAGCGGAGGGATATTTTTTTTATTGAACCTGTACATGTACTTGCGGCGGCGGCGGCCGATAGCGTTACACGAGCCAGTTTTAATTACCCGCGCGCTGCTCTTGTTCGCGTTGAACCCTTCCTTTTTCTTCTCTCTCTCTCTCTGGCTCTCGAATGTACGACTTTTCGGCCGTTTCGCGGAATTAATCAACGCTGCGAGCGCGATCGAGCCATCGCTTGCTGCTTTAATTGAACGATTACTTGTGAATAACTCGGTTCGTTGGCTTTGCGATCGCTTTTCCTCTTGTTTTTGGCGAAGGACAGTCTTGTGCCCGCCGTCCACGTACGCATAGTGATCGATCGACTTGGGAATCGCAGGGGACCAAATATTATTTTCAGACATTTCAAATCATTCCGATTTATTTTTATTCCGATCGACAACTGAAACGACAACGTCAGCAAATCTTTAAATATCCTTTCGCCGAACACATATACGTATTCAGCATGTCTCTAACGATTCACATTATCTCATCGGTTCAGCCTACGTAATTATACGATGGCAATGAACGACAGCGAAACGACCCGTTGAATCAAGATGTTCAGTAGCATGCAGTGGCTACTATTATTAGTAACCATTGCATTTCTTTAATGATTAGATTCTTGAATGATAAAATGAACTAACAATTTATATTAGCGGACATGAAATTGCACTTTAATAAATATTGAGTGCCGCAAATAATGGGATGCACCATACTACTAACACGCATAGACATTAATGTTATTGTTCGATAATCGTATCACAAAGAAAAGTTTCCTGTTGCGCATGTATTTCATTATAGTGCGATGAATATTTTCCGTAAAAAAATATAATAATAATGAAATGTTGTCCTACATCTATCAGCCCACTCCATATAATAGCGACGGCGGTAGCAGCAGCTCAATAAACTAAAGGAAAAACGAGGCATTCGCGTCGCCGCGCGCGTGCATTAAATAGTAAGAGGCGAAGCCAGCAGGCGCCGATCGTTTTTTTCCCCTCTCCACTCAAAGTCATACTAATGAATAAACTAGCACGACTGACGTTTCGATTAGCGCCGTCGCGTTTTCTCTTTCGAGCCTTGGTACGATGTACGATTTGTCGCGTAAAAATCGATTTTATTTTTTCTCCACCACATATGTAAGCGACGAACAATTAATGCAATTTCAACGACATCAACAAAAGAAAAAAAAAAAAGAAAATCAGCGATTCTCTCTGTTCTGCGTCATTGGCGAAAAAGCGTCGTCGGTGCTGCCTTTGGCCAATAAATTGGCGAATTTAAGAGGTGACCATATACATGTGTGACGTTGGCGTCGTAAAAAAGAAATGCAAGAAAATATACTCGGCCCGATTAAACATATAAATACGCGTATAATAAGTGCACGCTCCCCGTTACAGCTTCTGTCTCTCAGGGAGTATTCGCTCTAATAAACCGCTCCTGTAAGTTTTCAATATCGTCCATTTTTACGGCCGCGTGTATATTTGCTTTCTTTATTGAAATTTCGAACGTTGCCTCTGCTTTTACGCGAGCTGATTTCATGGTCGATGTTATATACGAGCCTCTCGAAAAGAAAGAAATCAGCTGTTTCTCGGTCATCGCTACGAGGGGAGAACAATGCAGATTGCTTTGATCGCCGCGACGAAGGCGCAATAAGTGACGAAGAGCGTTGCTGCTACAAGGATGCCTCGAAAGTGTTACACGTGTCACGGGCATCTGTGTTATTCCGTCGAAAAATGTTCTTCGAAAACTTTCACAAACATCGACATTAAATGCAAAAGTAATTATAAAGAGGCTCGGCAACGAAAATATGAAAATACACCTTTTTCCTTATTACCGAAATGTGATTCCGATGTGAATTGACGCACGCGCGCACCTGCAGTGTTATTATATCATTGAACTAAAGGCAATAAAATCGAATCGACCTCTGATCGGGAAGACAATGAACACATCAAAAGAACAGTTTGCTTTCAGCACAATTTCATACTAGCAAGATGAAGCGTCAGGTAAAACGAAAGCGGCTAATAGGTACGCATGTATAATTGACGAGATCCAGAAAATCACGTCATCTGTCGAAGCCGCCGCGTGTCAATCGCTTAACTCTTTCTCCTTTTTTTTTCTCGATTCACGGCCTCCTGGCATTGGCCAAGCAGCTCTCTCGCGATCGCAAAAGCTGCTGATGTCGGAATTAAAATAGACGCACACGCACGCGCAGACTGGGAGGTGAGCGCTGCCGCGCACTGACGCGTGCGGCGTATTAAGAAAGGGAGAGAGAGAGAGAGAGAGAGAGAGAGGAAAGCTGGTCCACAGTGGGAGGAACTAAAATTAGTGGAATAACCACGGGGAGAAACGCGATTCTCTCGCTCTCCTCCAGATATTCGGCATTTCCGAAAAGTTCTCGCTGCTGATAAGGCGCGCGCGCGTTACTCCTCTTGGTTCCCCTCACTGAAGAATAATGATCGGCTCGGCTGTTGATTTGACAGTGCTGAAAGTGATTATTGCTGTGCTTTTCATTTTTTTCAGCTGCGATAGCGCGTCTGGTAAGTTTTATGGCACACTCAACATTCTTGCTGCCGTTTTTTTTCTCTCTTATCGTCCACGCGAGAGCAACGATAATTGTGCGTTCAATATCTATATCGGAGTCGATCTGAATCATACGAAATTTAACCGATCAATCTCTCATTAATATATACCTATGTCGAAGTTGATACATTTAATCGACTCGATCGCTAGCGTTACGTAAGAGATAAATAAAGGTTCAGAAAAATTTGTCCAAATCGTCCACTCGACTCGCTTCGATAGACGACGTTCGATCTGTGTTTTTGAATCCTGTTGTCATGCGACATTCATGCGACATGCCAGGCCGTCATTGATTTTATTTTACATTTTATTTTTCATTTGATTCTATGATACGGATCTATAATAATCGGCTATTATATACATCGCGCACTGAAGCCGTTACTGTACACTATCGTAACGCACGCGCGATAAATGCAGGAGACAGAGAGAAAAAAAAAGAAAAGAACCATTGAAATTCATTAATTAACGCAACACACAACTGTATCGCAGGCAGGAAATGCGTGTGCACGAGCAAAGCTTGCAAAGAGAGCGGCGCCAAGACTTGCAGGACACGTTTCTCCTGTTACACCGAGTTGATATACAGTGCCGAGGCTACGGTAGCGGCAGCATCTGGCAGCACGGCAATCAAGACCACTCGCGGATGCACCGAGTACGTTGCAAATAATACATTTCGTTTTGTTTCTTTCCCACCTTGCGCCGCGAATCGTCGATGAGTCAAGTGTGCTGACTTTTTCTTTTTTGTTTCTTGTTTTCTTTTTCTTTTCTTTTTTTTTTTTTTCATTTTTGTTGTTCATTCTCGAACGGTTTTATTTTGCGTCACGAGCTGCGAAATATCAGAAAAAATAGAGGAAAAAGAAAAACAAACGAGAAAAAGATCGACTGTATCGGCGCAAACATACGCTTGCTGAATCGTCATTTATTTTTGCTTAAAAAAGCACGGAAGTAAGCTCTGTAATTCAAAAATAATATCCGTTGACGTCATTAACGCTCACGACGTCCTATCTATGGGGTTAAAACTCATAACTTTCGATCATATTTTCGATCGCAGGCGATTTCGCTGAGATGAAGTTAATGAAATGTCGCACTTAATTAAAATAAAAGAAATTTATTTCAGTCTGCGCTCGGCGGTTTCTTTTTTTTTCGGAACGCGCATGGCATTGAAGATTTTGAATTCAATAACGGAAAGAACGGGTTTATTTAGATGATATCAATTTTGGATAAAAGCCTCGATCCGACGCAGGAAAAATCCTTGTAATTTTTTTTCTTATATAAAACTTCTAATATACCGTACTCGCGTCAATGGATATACGTAGACAAGTCTACTTTTCTTGTTTTTTCATTTTCCAGACCTTTTATCTGGGCGCACGGATATTACGAAATGCAAATAGAGTGTGGTGAGCGCGAAAAAATCGTATTTATTTACGTGCCTATAAGTATATTTCGAGATATGATCTCTCTATCTATAAGTTCTTGTATCGAGAGCTGCAAAACATCGTAAAATTGAATTGGTCTAGGACTATCAGCAACTAGTTGCGAGAGATTTTCACACACATACACAGCCTTTTGTCTATCTGCTTGTTGTCTTTCGCTATGAATGCGTCATTGCAAATCAGTTCAATCAATCTTTACTGTTATTGTATCCGCGTGCAAAAAAGAATACCGCATTTTTATCGACTCAACACTGGTCTTGTGCAACGTCGTGAAAAAAATGAGCCGGTGACAATCGCAAGATAATGTTTTGCATTACATAAAAGAAATAGCTCATCGAACGGGTCACACTCGAAACTACGAGGTCATGGATTTTTTTTTTCGCCAATTCGAGGAATATTTGATATCGCTGAATCGCTTGTGAAAAAGAATCCTAACTAATTGCTGTGAACATTGGCGGAGATAATATGATTTCAACGTATGTATTTATACGAAATACGATCGATGAAGGATGCTTAATGATGTCATGCAGAATATTTTCAGTAAACTTTCCGAGACGCGCAATTATATTTCAATATTTTAAAACTTAATGCAATAACAAAAATGAGTAATTGATTATTTATCAAATATTTCCGCCAATTTTCTATAATTAATCAATAGTACTAACATGAGTCACTCAACTCTACCCATCAATGTTCTCTTCATGTCGCCCAATTGAATGAGAAAAAATGTACAGGGGAGCTACGCCATTACTGTGCGAAACGAAAACCTGGCGTGGTGCGAGTGACGAGCAATACGGCAGCAATTCCAATTCACTGGAGCAAGTAGGTAGAGCAGCGTGGCCACGGCTTACCTGCTGTGACGATCGTGACTATTGCAACGCTGCCGATGAAGACTTCGAGACGACCTCCGCGCAGCCGCAAGATCGCCAATCGAGCCACGAGAGCACGTCTGAATTCCCAACCAATCGTGGCCACGATTACCCTCCTAGATCATTGCTGCCGAATGATAATACCAGGTCCCAGCACGTGCAGACTCTACACGTGGCTGCTTTGGTTTTGGCGATCGCTGCCTTGATATCAGTTTTCGCCGCCTGCTACGTTGTCACCAGGTAACATCACACACGTAACCACGAAAAGCGCACACCACTCGCATGCGCGAATTGTCCTCTTTGTTCAATTATCGTGAGTAGGACCGATACGTCGTCCATGACTTTTTCCACGCGGCGCGTCACAGGCGATTCCGAGAAATCTATGCGTGTGCCTACGCTGAAGTAAAGTCGCACGCCAGACGGATTCACTCCTAAATTTTGTTTCTTTTTTTTTTGTTTTTTCTTCCTCGAGTTTTTTTTTAATCATTTTATTGAATAAAAAGAAAACGATGTTTGAAAATCGTTTCTTCTATAAATCTATACGCACGCAAATAAATTTTTCTTTATTCTCGTTGGTTGATTTACGAGATAAATATAATATTTCGTAACGATGGCGTCGAAAAACGAAAAAGAAATATGTCAAACAACGAGCAGAACAAACAAACAAATGTGATCACGGTTTAAGCTATGGAGTGGCGCGGAGAAACTTTGTTCCCTTCGTTCGCAACGTCCAATTAGTCTGTTCTGTGCTCCGAAAATTTTCAAAGCTCTATTCTTCCAAAAACTAATCATATGCTGCTGTAAGGGGCAACACGAATCCAACGAAAATCAGATACATCCACGCAAATACGAATTAGCCGTGTAGTTCCCACAGAGGATCTGGTGCCGACAAAAATTCAAGGGTACGCATAGGTGAAATGCAAATAAGAAGCTAGCGTGATCCAACAGTCCCTCCCTGATCATCCTCTCAATTCTCGGTTGAGGTTCGATACTTCAGACACACACATATATGAGCCGATCAATTTGCGTAATAACTAATGGCACCGTCAGTCCTCTCTTTCTCTCTCTTTCTCTCTTTCTCTCTCTCTCTCTCTCTCTCTCTCACTCTCTCACGTTCTCTCACACACTCTCTCTGTCTCTCTAGTGATATCTGTATCTTGACTCGTCAAACAAACTCGTTTTCGCCTTTCAATTATCATAATTTATCGCATTCCATGCCGGATAACATTCATACGATTCCCATTGGTGATATTTTCGTGCTGCTTCGATTGAATAAAAAAAGGAAAAGAAAAAATTTCACGCGTACGTGTATCAATCGGAAAGAGAGGTTTGTCAACTCAATTTGATTATCTTGTTTTGATCGTATTGAAAACCTGCGAATGACGAAATCTCGCACGTAGCTCGTGTACAGAAAGTCGAAACCTAAAAACAGATATGCATTAACCGTTCGAAATTTAATCGAATCAGAATTAATTATTCATTGTGATTGTATCGACAAAAACTCACGGACACAAATCGAAAGCTTTCACTTAACTGGAAGAAAATTTTCAAGCGTTATACCTTCTGAAATAACGTAAACTAAAATTCCAAAAGTCCTATTAAAGATGACAGCGCCATCAACATCCACGCAATTACATGGTCACGATTGTATTCTCCCTAACTCATAAACCGATGTGCTGTGCAACGACGGCCGGGTGCTTTTAACTTTTAACAAACGCGAATTCCAACGTCGGAGACGGAAGCGTGATTAGAGAAGCCATTTTTTTCTTTTTTTTTTTTTGCCGTTCCGTCTAATTAGCGAGCGCGGCGGCGTTGCGCGTGATGAAGTTCTGCGTTAATTACCACGAGAGCTTTTTTCTTCGTTGTCCTCTCTGCAGCAGCTATCCGAAGGCAAAAAAGCTGCTGCGCGTTTGTCGAATTCTTTTTTCCCCTCGATGAACGGTAATTAAATTTGTTTTTGGATCGCGTCGAAAGTCTCTGCTTAGCGAGCCGGAGAAAGGCTCGCGACTGACGTTTTTGCTCGAAAGAGGTTTCGCTTGCGCAACGAAATGCATACCTATATATCGCCATTTTGCTTTATCAGTCCCGGAATATTACGCTGATTATAAAGTCCAATGTCGAAATAAACTCGCGTGCAATATTACCGAACGAGTGAGCGAGCGAGAGAGAGAGAATAAGCGGAATCGGGAGCGCGAAGATCGGCAGGTAATGTCCTCCTCAATGCGAATAACGGGTAAATCTGTAAACATTTTTTTCTTCTTGGCCTTATCAGAGGGGCATCGTGAAATTGGTATTGCCTTAATCTGGGAGAGTAAAAAAGTGCGCGCGCAGCTGCCATAAAGTAAATAGCAATAAACAGGGACAGGCGGCTACAATAAAAAGATGGAACGGCGAAGAAATCGTTCGTGGCACTAAGGCACTAAAATGCGTGGGGACAGGCGCCAAAGAGAGGAGCAAACACAAATTTTTATCGAAAGGTAGCCTATATTTGCTTTAGAGAGAGGCGCCTCGATAACAGTTTTTCGTCGGGCGCGCGCTTTTCCAACGATAAGGCGCGTCAACGCGCCGATAAGCCGTGCCAAGAAATCAATTCTCCGGCTTGTCTTTTTACGCGACTTTTTCGATTATCCGCCACTCGCTGCTTCCCCAAATTCCGTGCAAACATGTCCTTCCTTTTTTTCCACTACTGTTTTATGTACATACAAATGCCGTACTAGTCGAAGCTCAAAGCTCCGCTTGGTTATCAACGCCTTCGACTAATATTTGCTCAAGTGCGGCTGTATTTGAGAATGATTTTACCACATGGATTATCACCTTTGAACTCGATTAGAAAAAAATAACTTGGGTGTGCATATCGAAAACACGTTTTGTTCGTTTTACTTCAGAGTAAATTGTAATTCATCGACGAATTTTAAAATATAGAACCACGAGGAAGAAATTTGCGACATAATACGTAATATCTCAATGTCTTTTTGTCAATAACAATTCAACAAAACAAAAAATTTTGAATTACGACATTGAATTGTTGTCGCTTCGAAACGAGGGCCTTACATAAATGAAATAAAATATTATACCTACGGCCGACTGTATTCTAACTTGCAAATGGAATCTCCCACAAATAAAATTTACATCTGCAGAAAATTAGCATCAAAACGATAATCGCGTCGAAGCAAACAGTTCTCTCGCGGGCGCGATTCCAAATGCGTGTTTACCGCCGCTGACCGCATTCTCGCACATATCCCCTTGGCCGCTCGCGCCGATACACACACGTAGACTGAATGCAACCCTCGGTTGCTTAAATTTCAGTCTCCAGGGCGCCGCGTCGCTTGCTGGAGCGCCGTCTGGTCGCGCCGCCCTCTTATCAGAAGAGAAAGAAAGAGAGAGAGAGAGAGCCAACTCGGTGCTATATAGCCTCTAATCTCAGGGGACTAATGTGCAACGCAGTGGGCCTCCCTACGGCTAAGTGGCTTTTCGAGTCGCTAAGATCATGGGGACCGATCTTTTTTTCGCCGATCAGCTTTACGTCTCATTTCGTGCGCAGCTTCCCTCCTTTTTTTTTGGTTGTTTTTTGTTTTTGTTCCTTTTTTTTCGGGCCAATGGGTCTAGTTTTAAGTTTCCCTCACTCCTCATCATCGAAAGGGACTGTTGCTGCTGCTGCTTTGGCGCATTCTTTTACGATCTTCCATTCTTCTGCCTGGCGGACACGTTTATTTGCTCGAAATGTCGGCAGTTATCTTCTGTGAGGAGACCCCGCTCTATTTTTCTAAATGCTAAATGCGAGGGTTATCGACGAAACAGGGGAAAAAAAATAATTACAATCTGAAAGTTCTCACGCAGGCCCTAAATTTTACACTCGTTCGCTGTGACTGTGGGAATCATATTTTTGAACAATTTTGCTGAATTCAGTGGCAGACAATTTCCTTGAAGCTCGGATACGCCGTTTTCAAAACTCGTGGCAAGTTCGTCCTTACTTTTATTTTGAGCTTGGAAATTACAAGTCGCGGGAAGGTTACCTAGTGAAGTTCACAGTATGGTGAAGAAAATAGTTGGTGGTTTTGAGTTCGGCTGAAAATGAATTATAACAGAGGCGACTGTGCCTGTACAATGGGATTTCTTGACCTCGCAACATAACGAAATTCCATTGATATCCTTGTTCCCGCACAGACAATAGCCGCGCATGGAGATAACGTGCTCACTCGCAAATCGATTTTCTCGCCTTTCGATTCTTTCAAAGCGTCGGCATTCGATCTAATTGAATGAAAATAAAAATCGAGAAATAACAAGATGGTTAAAACAATGAAAAGCTGGATAAGCGTATCCGCATAGGATACTTGAAGCTTATCTATATGAACGATTGCCGGCAAGCCACATGTTTCTCATCTTATACAAGCGCTAATTTCCACGAAGTCTGCAGTAGAATACGCCGTGCGTTCAGAGGCGTCCGCTTGCACTTTCCACTTGCGCAAATATAACAACAAGCCGCTTGACGAAAGTCTCGCACCTTATCAAGCGAGAGAGGCTGCGCGCCGCATCGCCCCGGCGCTTTATCTTTCCACGAAGGCAAAGTCGTAGGCGAGAAACTCATCGGCACGCAGCCGCGATCGTCGGTTTTTAATGCGGCGCAGATAACGAGACGTTTCTCGTTGCTCCTTTCCCTCGCGTGCGCGCGCGCTCACGTGAATTAGGGCCCAATAAGAGCTGCCTTAAGTGCGTCTCGCGGTATTTCGCCGATAGCCGGCCGATCTTTCTTTTGCTCGGCGCGTGTGGTAGGTACGAGCTCCGCCGGTTAAGGAAGTGCCCGAGATAAGCTCGTCGCAGCTGCTTTACGTCCCTCACCTCCCTTTTTGCTCGCGGATAATCGCCGCCTCGCCATCGCTCACCCGCCGCGAATCGCATCCGATCGGCGACAAGTACGACAAGGGAATGAGGTTGCTTGGTCGTCTTTGTACTGTCGCAGATTCCTAAACGTCAGCGGCGCCAGCAGCGGCTTACCCAGGATACTCAACCCTTACGCCAGCAGCGGCATGAGCGTCTGAGAGAAACCGGATTTCGCCTTGACGACGACGAGGACGTGCGAGGAGCACGCACCACGCGAACGGACAAATGGCTGGTGTCACGGTAAGTTGGTCTTGCATAATTGTCGATGCGCTTTGCCAAGCTTTCAAGCTGATTAATGCGGATATGCCGAGGGAAAGAAGTCGATGAACGCGGACTGGTGTGGCAATATATTCGGAATCTTGACGTGCGCATTGATATTCAAGAATTAACGAGGCAAAGTCGATTGTCTGAATATTTTGCTTCTGCGCGGCGCGCTTAATCATTGGGAATTCGTCGCGCTCGGCATATACAAAGTGAGTCGCCGCGCGGAATGATAATGCTCGCACGGGTCATGCGACGACGGCGCCAGGCTGAAAATAAAACGCACTATATACCTTCGCGACGCCGACGTGATTTTTATCGGGGCAGCGAGGCGCCAATCACTAATAATAGCACTCGAAGGTGCGCGGCATTGCGCGCGCCAGGACGGGCCCCGTCCAAATTTTCTGCGCCAATTCGCGAGGCCTTTGCCGAGGCTGCGAGAGCGGGACAGGTTGAACGACTCTGCGTATATTGCTCAGCGCGCGATGTATTTTTAATCGTTTTCCTCCGCGATCATGTCACCGCGCGATTTTACGATTATGATTTCGGAATTATACTTTATGCCAGCGCTGATATGCGTTTGTCTGTATAATTTTCCAATCTATTAGTGTATGTGTCGGTATTTTTTCTTTTTTTGCTTGTTTTTTCAAACGTCTCTATCATTCATGTTTTTGCCTTGCTCGCTGCGGAAATATCCGTGGGATTCTTCATTGTATCGACAATCGTTGAAGCGCTATCTGTCTAAATATTGCCAGTCAAATATAAATAAACGTACTTAATCAACAATGTATAAAGCTAAACATTTTATACAGTAAAAGATAGATATCGAATAAACATTAAATATTTCTCAAGATTTTGCCAGCAGAACACTATGTAATGTAACATAACAGAGAGAGAGAGAGAGAGAGAGAGAGAGAGAGAGAGAGCTCGTAATTATAAACTCGCGATAGAAACGCATACGATAAGAAATGTTGCTCTATCGTTTGTCTGCGAGCGTTTGTCGCAAAAATTTATAAGCTTGATTCGCTCATTACATTGATAATTAACATACCGTTAACGTTCTAAGAATTTCCAGTCTTCTCTCATGCAAATCAGCTCCAACGAAAAGTAATCAAGCACACCAGCCCGACATTTTTGTCGCTGTTACCGATGGAAAAATTAGCTATCTACGGATATGAATATTGTGTGCGTCGCGCTTACTACAAGCATATTTATGCTACAAAGTCCCTAAGTAGATTAAGTGCCAATTAATATGCTCACGAGGCGACTTTTAATGAAACATTGAGCATTCGCTCGTATCAATTATTGCTTCGTACATTTAGTGACGTGGAAAATGAGAAAATGTTTTTGCAGAAATCCTTCATTTAGTCGTTCATTTTTCGATACTGCTTATCGTGTAATTACATACTCGTAAAATATTTTATAAAATTTCCTAATTTTCTCGTATTCAAAATTATTCGAAAATTAGTGGAGGAGAATAATATATGATACCAATTGGAAGCTTAAATGTTTAGTAACTTTTATCGAGATTCCAAAGTATATAAAATATACATTCAACTGTTCTTTTATATAAAAGAGAAGAGGCAATGCAATTTCGACATCAGGTGCAAATGTGGCGACTAATAATAATCCTGTTTACGACGCTCAACAGATCGATTTGTATACACGACGAGCAAATAGACAACATGGAAATGGAATCGACAACAGACAGGCAGACAGACACATACACACCCTCGCGTCTATGTCGTCGTCGGCTAATAGAGTGAGAGTAGAAAGAGTTGGGTAGCATTTGATAAAAACGAATTCGCGCGTAGAGAGAGAGAGAGAGAGAGAGAGAGAGAGAGAGAGAGAGAGAGAGAGAGAGAGAGAGAGAGACGAAGCGAAAGCTGCGCGCCACGCGGTCGCGACGTCGAGGCACGTCGCCGGCACGACTGTAGCTTCCTGTGGAGCCCGTCGGTCGTCCTCCTGTCCCGACGACGACGACGACGCCAGGTCTCCAGGCGCTCACTGGTAAATACTAAAAAGTCGACAAGCGCCAATGCAATAAATACAACCAAAAAGCCCACCGACCCTCTCCCTATCTGCCTGTGCCAATTGTGCGCGCCTCGACATCTATACAACAGCTCGGAGACGTCGGCCAAATAGTCCGACCGATTCCCGTATGACTGCACGTATTATCATGATGACGTGGCTTTCTATATTCCATACTCCACGCCCTCTTCTACAAATCCAAGGCGGTTTCTCTTATTTCCGCTGTCTGCCTCAGCGTTATTAATCTGCGCCTCAGTTTATTTGTCGACAGGCGCGTCGGTTGCTCGGGTGGACTTCGAATACGCGACTGTTAGTTTGAAAATTTGCAAGTACAATAACCATAAACAATTTTCCAAGTTTCCGTTATATTCATAGTTGACCGACGCAAACTACACGATTATCCCTAAAAAATGATTTCGACATTCGCGTAATTTATCCAAATAAGACTAGTCCCTACATTCCAACCGTATATATATATAAGTCCTAAAAAACATAAATACAATTTAATTATATCTAGCATTGATTATATCTAGCGACGTTGGAAAATCATGCACTAATTCGATAAAAAAGAAGTCGATCATTGGCGTAAATGCAAATCGAGGAAGACGATTTCGCAATAACGAAACATGCTCGTAGCTGTTAATTAGAAATCATTAACTCATCGAGAAAAGAGTATATGCATTTACATGTCGGGCACAATACCGCGGTGCAAATGTAAAAGTATCAAAATCCCAATGTGATTCGTTAAGGAGATGAATCGTACGATAATGATATGATAGTGAATGATACTTTTCATTGAATCGTGGTTATTTTTAACAAACTATATCAATTAAATGTCACTTGTGCTATTACAGTCAATCAATGCGTCATACCTATTGTATACAAACGATATTATTGATTCGGTTGTTGTTGAATAACTTGATTCGCTCTTTGAGAGATGCATTCTACAGAATTTCGTTAAAAAAACAAATTAATATTTGATAATAGTTACAAATATTAAATGAACAGAAAACTGAACGTATTGTTCGCTATATAATTTTCACGTTAAACTAATCGATCGTCGACACCTTATCAGAATTTCTAAACGAATTCTGCAGCTTTATGACGTTGAAATAGTATGTTCCAGAATTCAGTATGAGGCAGACATTTTACATAAGATAAAAACATATCAGTCTGTCGTATGGCTGCGTCAGCGCGTTTAATGGTGTGTGTAAAATCCTCCTATATAAAAAAGTGATAACCTGCCATGTGAAGTCATTTTATTCATGATCTCATTGCTAAAAAGTAGTCGCATGAGTTACCATTATGTGGCAATATATATGTGTATGTACGTGTATTGGGCTTATATTAGGGCATGCAATATTATTAGCATAGTAGATGACATGTTCAGCAAATTCGTGCTAATAAATATCTCGAGTCCTTTTACGTTGACTTTATATTCATTAATTGAATGAATAAAAAATAAGTAAAACAGGTCGTAGGCATTAAAAAAAGAAAACGTCCATGTTCACTTAATGGCCTGTTTTTAGAATAATATGATAGTACAATTTTAATGTTCTCAAATTACAATTATTCTTTGAACACATATAACCCAATAACCCAATTATTCTTAGCACACATATATTTATTGAATATCTTTGTCACAAAGTTTAGCTTCGAATAAATATTATGAAGAATGACGAGAATTCTAAATCGTTAGATTATTTCATAAATAAAATACTTTGAACTACTTCGTTCATCTGGTACAGTAATTAAAAAAAAGATTAGAAATTAAATTTATAAACATAATTATAACGACAAAATTGTCATGGATAAATAAGTAAAATATGGCAGTTATATTGCTGAAAGTGAAAATGTTGAAATAGAATTTATGAAAAGTACTGCTCCAAACGAGCCGAAACCTACAAACGAGTTCCAATATTTTTGCAATAAAAAGAGGACGCATCTGTCGACATGAAGATATCCTACAAAAAATTAAAAATCTTAGATAAATGTATTAAAAAAAATAAAAAAAATAAAATTGTCAGGCGCAGCTGACGATACGATTTATTTAGACAAAGAAGAAGGAGAAACGAACTTAATACACTGCCTGTTATCTGTAGCTTAACTGACACCTAATAAAGATTTACTAGGGTATTAGGTTTGAAATAATAGCTAAATTTGTGAATATCAACGTAAATGTTAATATCGACGGATGTTGCATGTATGCGGCGTGATTTGATCCAGGTATGAAATTCAATATTGATACAAAGGCGCGCTCGACGACGCTGTTCGTTAGAAAAGCGACAAAGATTCCATTGGCCGACTCGCAAGCGCCAATGAAAACGCTTACACGCTGAAATCCAGGTGGAGAAATAACGAAATTGAAAGCTCCTCGTTGGCCGCTTTTTCTTAACTTTCGTCGAGATATCGCGTGTGGTCCACGCGCGCTGCCGCGGCGTTTCCACTTTAATTGAGCCCCGCGCTCGAGCCGCACTTTATCATATAATGCCTTCTACGTCGTCCGCGCACGGAACGCTTTTAATGCACGCCTCTCGCTCGCGAAATTTATGTATATAACCCGCGCGTGTACACGCGGTATCGCTTATATGCGGCTATTAATTTTCCCATTTTTTTCCCTGACGTAATTAACGAGCGCCCAGCGCAACTCGTTTATTCGTTGAAAGTGCCATCGAGCGATTCTTAATAAGCCAATTGGAACGAAATGGATCGCAGTGACACGTCAATGGAATCATCTCGCGATGCGCGATCCACCTACGCATGCACGGAGAGCGCTCCAGTTGAAATCGCCGTCGCAGCTCCCGCCTATTTGTAATATATAAAATCGGCGAGCCGCGCTGCTGCTAGCCAGGTGCTTCAAGGTAATTAGTCATCGGGTGAGTCGACTGAAACTGGACATCGACGATGAAACGACAAGAGCGACAGAGAGGAAAATTGATCGA